GATAAATGCACCCTCATCATTTTCTGGAACACTTAAGTGGGCAGGATTTGTTGCCTTCAAATACAAAAAATGATGTGGATTGGTTAATATATCTCGGTATACTAACTCGAGGTGCTGTGGTACATTGTAATAAGTTAGGTACGTTTTCCAAAGTTGTGTTCAAGGAACCCAAGTAGGAATGAAACCCAGATAGGAAATCAACCCTTCAGTACACATACTTTGGATTATACACATACAGCGCTTATTGACTTCCTTAGGGAGCTTTTACGCGTATTTGTTCTAAAAACGTTTATTAAAGTAGTTTCGTTTTATTATGAATACCCACACGCCATTCTTCAATTATGCAGTAAATATCTTGGGACATATTGCCTCTTAGTAATGACTAAGTGTTTATACCTATATAAGATACTACTGCTGCAGAAGGATTTAAAGCCAGCTTATGAAAGCGTGCCTGGCTTGGAAGAATTGATGCCCTCGGAATACAATGGAGGCAACGGTTCTTATGACGAGATCTGTGGTAAGAATGCTTTTGCAAATTTCTCGTTTCCGATAACAGTTCTGATACCTTAGCAATGCCACTAAAGCAGCACCAAAGTTTAATTACGATAAACTGTATTAGCAACGTTCTTACATTGAGTCAACAATATATTGGCCGAACTAAACATTTAAAGACTGGTTAACCTCTCCGAATGCCAGAAGTTTATTGTGGAGACAGTCAACTGTATTACACGGAACTGCCTAAATCGACAAGTTTGTTATCCGATTATTTACCAGTTGGCAGAGAAACTGATAGTCCTAGGCATGAGCAAGTTTACATTGGATTTCACATCTATTAATACACTACAGAACACGCCAGTTAGTTGAGACAATAGTTCACAACGCATTAAAAATCAGATCTGAAATAATTAATGTAGACAACTGAGGTTCTGCATAAAATTTATACTGCAACTCTAAGCTTTTTAACTGACACGCCCTTGGCGCGTTAATATAGACGAAAATGAAAATGGACGAATTTAGAGCATAGTAGCTTATTAGATTATCAAACATTTTGCGCGGTCAATGTCATGCACTCCCATCTCTTCAAAAAGAATACTGCGATGAAGTTGGCCTTCGCAAAATTATCTAGATAACCAGTCTAGCATTGGACCAGTGGACATTTAATGGGCTATACAACTTTGCCACGTAGAAGTTAATGAAAATTCAATGTATTCAGCATTGAAAGCAGGCAAAACAGCAGGATTTTTTGATATCAACTAATTTTGCGACAGCTTATCAGCTGCTACTTGTCGCTGCATAAGTAAGATAAAGAGGACAGATAGAGCAGTAGTGAATTTAAGAGAATCACTGGCAACAGCAAGGAACGTGGGTCAGTTTAAAAAAATAATCGATAAAGGACAGGGCGTTAAGTCAACATATGGGAAGTAGTGGGTGAGGGAAATTAACGAAAAAAACACTTGGAAATTAAATTAAATGACCAATCACCAGGGCAATTGGAGGTTGACGACATGATCAAGCTGCTTGCATAGGTCAGGTTTCTCTCACCGTATGTATGCAACTTCCAAATAGCGCAGGATTCGATTTGTTCGGGCCCGAACAAGTACCCGAAACGCTGTTTTGAGATCGACAGAATGACCGCTGTCTAATAGATGTTCGGTAATAGAGGACCATGGTATTCTGTCTTCTTGCTTGAAAAGCCAGTTGGGCAAGTGCTCAGCGGCCCTGGCTTTCAGTTGCCTTTGCGTACGCCCAATGTACTTGCATCCGCAAACACATGTGAATTCGTAAACATAATTTGAGGTGGCGTGCAATGGCAAGGCATCCTTTTTCCGTTTTACTGGAATGCTTTTAGTTGAACCTAAGAAGACTAGTTTTGCTGCGTTGTAGGTCCTTTCTAAAGTACAGCGTAATCAGTTACGAAAACCTCATTAATGCACTAGGTTATCTAAATGTCTGCGCCATTTTGGAATATCTCATGCTGCTATACTGAAGTAAAGTTCAAAGCGACTGAGGGATACAACATTTGCCATAATTCTATTGCAGACGTGTCTTTAGTAGTGTTTTTAGTTTGTTAGAAATTTTGTTAATATTTTTTTTTCTAGAACGAAACATCAAGGAATTCTCCACAATACCGACGAATTATCTGGACTTTGGCATATCCATCGACGAAACAAAGCGACCTCACATTTCAAAGAATTTGATGCGTGTTTATAAAGATCTCCCGCCGGAGGTAATGGGAACCAGTGGAAATTACGTAAAAATTGATGACGAAATTTAACCGCTTCGACCGCGGTAGCCTGTCAAATAAATAAACATTATTTATTCGATTTCTTTTTGAATAAAGGTTCTCCTGGCGAAGTAGGTAGATGCAGATACAGCAGAGGTCTATCAAAGCTTTATTTCGCCACTACATTTAATGTCACGCTGCCGCCACAGCGAGCTTATCCAAGAGGTAAGCCATCCGACATTTGGACGAGGAGACAAACAGGTCAAGCAATTAGTCTTCTTTTTTAAATATCCAAGAAAAAGGGTACACTCCGTCCCCTAAGAAGTAGGCGGCTCTCACATCTAACAGTCAGGAACATTTGCGAACACTCACCTACGCCTACCAGGAGCGCAAATACGCTTGCTGGTTGTCCCCCTACCTCTTGTGTACTGGCCAACGCACAGGGTTTAGAACTTAGTTCAGTTCAGTTCATTTTTATTAGGGAAATATAGGTAAATACCTTTGAAC